CCGGTATATATCTCAAATTTGATAACTAACGGGGACTGTGCCATGCATGGCTTGTTCTATATAGTGTTGTACTGGGAAATGGCCAGTTTGCATAGACAGTGTGATAGGGTATTTGATACTCAAAGAAGAACTTCACCATCTGATGAACTTTACAGTTGCGAAGTTTGGTCAAACTATGTAGGTTATTATAAATTTACAGTAATCCATATAAAATGGACAATTGTAGCAGTTTACAAGCAAGAAATGGACATGACAAGGTTTATGGGAATAATGTGCTACAAAACATGAGTCGCATGACCAAGACTGGTATAATAGTTATATTTTGTGAACAAAGCATTATTGTTACTATGGTAATGATATTGTGACAAGTGTAACTATTGTGGGACTCCCTTGTACATTGGAGCTGGCAGCCTAAACACTCATTTTCTGTGATATTGCATACCTAAGGAAATGTCATGTTTAAAATTTACCACACTGGCACACCATAAAACCTCACACACGCACTGGTAATCAGAGTGTAAGTCCATTGGCACAAGTAAACATACGCTAAAACAAAAGGGGAAAGCACATTAAAAACATGATAGCAAAGATGCACCCAACTAATATCAATGGTTATGATGTCTAACAGAAGCAATGCTAAATACTCAAACACTGTGAATGAAATTGAATGACTGTGAATGAAATTTTATTTCACCAGAAACGGTGTATACATTGAGTAGTAAATTATAAATAAATAAATACTTAAAATTAATAATAGTAGTTATTACAATGATAGTAATATAGTGTGTATTTTTGTTTCTGGTGGGGTCACAGAAATAGCTTATTCAAGCTAGTCAAGTCTGTGACCTACTTGATCCAAGATGTATAATAAAGTAATGATAAGCTTATATGCACAAGACATAGTTATAGCGTGTAATGAATACTACGGTATAATACATAAAGCAATACAGAAACGCTCACAATCTCTGATAAAATAAAACAACGTAACATACAAATACACATAATATTGATAGGAAAGTAAAATTTACATATCTTCTAGAAGATACCTTTTTAAGTGGCATTTGAAAGACTGTCTATTTTGTATACTTTTTATGCGATCAGGTAGTGAGTTCCAGTGTTTAGTGGAAGCGTATTTCAGAGTATGTTGATTTAATGTGAGATTGACCTTGGGAGTATAATAGTTTTCGCCTGCAGCATATCTTGTAGGGTAATTATGGGGTAGTGTATTTATCAATACTATGGGCATATTGCTTCTTCTTTAAGTCAAAAACGAACAAACAGGTTTGTAATATACAGAGCTTATTAATATTTAAAATACCAATGAGATTTGAAGAGAGGAGCGGTATGGGAACGAAAGTCAAAAAATGAGATGAGGCGGACAATTTTCTTTTGTAGAAGCGTAATTGGATTTAATAGCATTGAATAAGTATTTCCCCAAATCTCTATACAGTAAGTAATGTGTGCCAATATCAATGAGTTATCTAGCTAGAGTATATATTTAGGAACATAGTGTCGAATTTGAGAAATGATTCCAATTTTGGGGGCAATTATTTTCCTGACTTTGTCAATGTGGGATTTCCAATTGATATGATGATCAATTGAAATTCCCAAATAGTTAGTTGATAGAACCCCCTCAATTGGAGTTCCCTGGATAAGCAGACTTCCCTCGGTGTTAACAACTCGTTGTGCTGCTTTAATAATCATATAATTTGTTTTCTGTATATTTATTGTGAGTTTGTTAGCACTGCACCATTCGCAGACTCTTTGAAAGTCATTGCTGATATCGGAAAGATTGATTTGGCTGTCTTTGAGGAATTTAAATAGATTTGCATCATCTGCGAAGAGCCGAAAACTAAAGGCGTTGGTTGAATTTGCAATGTCATTAATATAGACTAGGAATAGAATAGGACCCAAAATCGACCCTTGAGGGACGCCACATTTGATTAGATTGTATGATGATGAAATGTTATTTAAAGTAACTGATTGGTGGCGATTGTAAAGATAGTCTCTAAACCATAAAAGTGGGAGACCCTAATGCCATAATGCTCTACGGTAATTTGGAAATGAGGATGTCATGGTTAATAGTGTCAAATGCCTTTTTGAGATCAACAAAAATGACAAAGGTGATGGATCCATTGTCGAGGTTTGCAGCTATGTCTGAAAGCGAGTCTGCAAGAGCAAGCTTGGGACTGTGTTTTTTTACGAAAACCAAATTGGGTGTTTATCATTATATGTTTTTTTTCTAAGTAGTCAATAAATTGTTTATTTACAAGCGATTCAATAGTTTTGCAAAAATTGGTAAAATGGAAATTGGACGATAATTACTGACATTTGTTACCGAACCTTTTTTGAAGATTGGGGTAATTTTTGCGATCTTGAGCGGGTCGGAAAATTTTCCTTGGCTCAATGAACAATTGATAACGTGGGCTAAGGGACCAGAGATAATGTCTGCAGCATGGATAACTTGTTTGGGGTAAATTTGGTCATGCCCAGGCGATTTAGTGATGTAATTGTATTTAAAACATCTTGTTTGCAAACTGGACGAAAGAAAAAAGAGCTTTGGAAATTTCCGCTTAAATATTTTCTAAAATTGTTTGGCGGGCAATTGATATTGGCAGCGAGATTGGGCCCAATGTTGGTGAAGTACGAGTTGAAACTATCTGCAATGTCTAAACTGTCAGTTATTGTTTTGTTTAGCGTAGTGCAATACAGTTTCTGAGGGGCCATTTTCGTTAGTTTTATTTAGAATTTCATTGACCACTTGCCACGTTTTACTCGTGTTACCATTCGCAGATGATACACCATTTTTGCTGACTTGAGGAGTTTTGTCAATGTGTTTCTATACATTTTATATTTATTTTTGAGTTCAGTGTTTTGTGGGCGTTTCCTCATTTTACTAAATAAGTTATATTTTGTATGAATTGATTTAATTAGGGCTTTAGATATCCAAGGTTTGCGGGGACTTTTGTGTGATTTTATAATTTTTTTTACCTGTACATGCTTTAATGATATACCATGAAAAATGTCATAAAAAGCAGAATAAGCTTGATTGGAATCTGAACAAGTGTACACTTGTTGCCACGATGCCGCACTCAAATCGGCCAAGAAATCATGTTGGTTGTAATTGTTGA